AGTGATTACAGCTTATAGTTTAATGAAAGAAATAACAGCAGGAGATAGAATAGATCAGAGAGAGGTAATTTTTCCACTAATTTAGTAACTTTTCTATGATCTATTGCTAAAAAAGATTCAAGAAGATAAATTGCTAGATTACATAGTAGAGCAAGAAATATCAAAAGATACAATTATTAATTGTATTACAAAACATAGACAAGCAGCAATCGTATATGCAGATAATACAATATAGATTACAAATAGCAAAGAACAACTGTTAAAAATTTTCAAAATTGTAGAGGAGTTCTTTAAAGCCAATGATATTGAAATAAATGAAAATAAGTTAAAGCTCATAGTAATGAATTTTAGACCAAGAAAAGAAAACAAAAAAATTATTTTTGGGCAGAGTAGAATAACAGAAGAGCCAAAAAACAAAATTATAAGATCATTAGAAATTTGGCTGAACAGTAAAATAAGAGAGTTACTAGTCTGCAAAAAAGCTAAAGAAATAGTTAGCCAAATAGTTAAAAACCTCAGATACAAAAAAATAACAATGAGCCAAATTACATATATAAATAATACAATAATAATCCTAAAGTTAGACTATCTTTTATAGTTAACAAAGATGTCAGGAAAGATGATTGATAAGATCCACCAACTGATAATCTGTTTGGCAAAACATAAGTGCAACATGATGAAACTACAAACAACTGTATAATAAAGTACAAAGATTTAGGAAACTGTAAATTACTAAGTCAAAAGATAGTGACAAAGCAAATAAGTAGTTTATTCATGAGACTTAATAGAAAAGATAGTCTAAGTGATCTAACAAGACTCAAAATAGCTTAAGGATACCAAAAAGCAGACTTAACAAAAAATATGTATGACATTAAAAGAAGATCAGAAGAATCAAAGTTTTAAAACACAATCTAGCTTGCTGAACAATAGCCAAAGTAAAATAGATAGGAATAAACATTAAAACAGAAAATTGCTTATAAAAAGTATATAAATATAAAATAAAAATAAGAAACCTAGTCAAAACTAAAACTTGGACAGCAAGCAGTTGTACAATAAATAAATAGAGTTTGTTTTATCTGAATTAGCTTATAGATATAAAAGGTGAAAACCTAATCACATGAAGACAGCTCAAAAGCTTTCAAGGACTGTCATGCAAAAGAAAGAAAACCAAATAGTTCAATAAAATAGAAGAAAAAATATTAATAATACAAACATGTAAGAAAATATATGATTATTTCAAAATTAGTAATTTTAATACCCAAGCATTAATAATTAACTAAATAACAGTATCAGAAGACAGAAGAAAGAAAGAGTGGATTGTACATAGACTGAAGCATAATCAGTATCTTAGCAAAGTACTAAAGAAGAAAAAGAAAAAGTTTTAATAGAGTATTGGTTATTACAAAAAATAGAAGACAAAACATTTACCAAAATAAGAAAATACAAAAGTTGTGAAAGCAGATTAGAACAAACAACAGACATATGCAAAAGATGAATAAGATAGAGCAATAGTATTAAAGCAATTTCAGAAACACTAATAGAAAAGAACAACAACAAGATCAATACAACAATAGAACAATTGCTAAAAAATAGATCAATAAGAGAATAGAGAGAAAAAAAAAGAGAATTAACTAGATTAAAACACATAAAAGGATTAGAGATAGAACTAATTAAAAAACAAAAATTCAAGAGGGAAATTATAACTTACTTAATAGAAGCTTTTATGAAAAACATAATGAGAAACAAAAACAAGTATATCTGTTATACAGATGGTGCATTATTTAGAGAAAGAAGTAGAAATAGTCTAGGAAAGATAGGTATAGACTAGATACAAGTTGAAAACAGAAAAATTTGCCAGAAGAAAAGACAGCCCTGAGACTCAAAGGTTGGCTTTAGTAATAACAGCTGAACTAGTAGCAATATAGTTAGCAATTTTAATGATATCAGAAAAGAAGACTATAGAAGTATACACAAACAGCCTAACAGTATTAAGAAATATTAGCAGAGCAATTTAAGATGCAGGTAATATTAGAGTCTAAAAAAGAAAAATGTAATGTGACTAATAAACATTATAGATCTAGTCAAAAGCAAAAACATCAAAATAGAACTAATAAAAGTCAAAAACTACAATAATAACAAATAAAATAACAGAGCAGATGTACTTGTGAAAAAAGGAGCAGCATATAATAAAACAATATTTGTAAAGAAGGTCAAGTGCAAGAGAGTAGAGTACCACTTGGAATAGGAAAACAAAAATATTAATATACTAACAAAACTTTTTTGTAAAATAGTGACAAATGTCAAAATTGGAGCCAGTTAGAAAGAAACAAACCTAATCTGAATATTAGAATCAGAAACAGAAAATATACAATATAATTAGTCAAGTTTTTGAAAAGAAATGAATAGAACAAAAGATGTATACTATATAATAAGAAAACTTAGTACTAAAAGAGCAACAGTAATTAAATACATAATAGATAGTCTATTAATACTAGAAGAATTAAATAGAAGAAGATTAAAGATTTATACGATAACAGACTGCCAAGTTTGTCAAAAAAATGAAAAGAAAACTTAAACATATTTAGCAAGCTGCAATAAATAAAAAAATTTGTATAAAAGAATCTAAAAAGTAGCAATAACAATAGTATAGAACAGTCTTAAAAAAAGTGAAAAAGACAGAATTCCATTTCTAGTCCTATATAAAGCATTATTTGAAAAAACAAAAGCAAAGAAAATTATGAACAGAAAGTTAATGATAAAAGACTAGCTACAACAAAGGTTAAAAAAAGACTCAACCAGATTCTAAATAGACAGATAACACAAAAATGCATAAATACGTATAATAACAAAAACAGTATGAAATATATTTTATGCCCAAATGTAAAAAGTCTGATATGAAAAAATGCAGAAATAAGAAAAAAAATCAATATAACAAGCAAAATAAAGAAAGTGCTTGAATAAAAAAAAAATTGAAGAAAAGAACAAAGAAAGACAAGCTGCTAAAGAAAAAAAAAAACAGAAAAATTGAATCGAATAAAGAAAGAAGCTTGAAAGACAATTAATATGCTTGTTATAAAAGAAGAAAGACCTTTTTGGTATGATTTTAAGTAGTTAGACAAGCAGTTTATCTTTAACTGAGATAGTATAACAGGTTGCACTTAGATATCAATTGAATGGCTAAGTAATGCTAGACTTAAATATTAAAAAATTCTATGTAATTATAAAATATATAGTTTCAAGAATCTTAATAAAGTACTACTGCTTAAGGTTAAAAAAAAAACAAAAATTTACAAAAATTAACTAATTATATAATATTTTTTAAATATAGATATATTTTTTAATTATATAACATGCTTATTGATATGTTTATAAGATATGTTTTAAAAAGCATATCTTATAATTCTGTGTTTTAAACTCTAATTAATAAATTAAAAATCTTTATATAATCTTAATTATATAAAAGAATGCAAACTGGTATCAGGCAGTACAAACTCAAGATAAGTCCTTATAATTATATAAATTTGTAAAACTAAAAAAACTGAAAACTTACTTAAAAAGATCCAAATAGAAAAGTAATATAGATTTTTAATAATATTACTGTAAAACTAGATCTAAAAAAACAGATACTAATGTAAAAAAATTAAATATACAAAAACCTTTAGATAAGAAACATCATCAACTAGATTGCCAAAATTTTTGAATTAAAGAAAAAGAATATTAAGTCAAATTTAATATATTAGAAACAGATCATAGTTCAATTAAGTTATTTGAATTGAAAATCAGATGACAAAACAAAAGTATACTATAAGTACTAGAAATATATTATAAAATTAATATTAAGATTTAAATGAACTTTACAAAAACAAATTTTGTTTAATTTCTTATAAAAAGTAAATAAATTAATTAATAAAAAAAACTTCTGAAACCTTACAATCAAGTGACATATTCTAAAATATGTAATTTTTAATAAACATACAAAAAAGAAATCTAAATGTTAGGTTAGATGACACTTAGATATACAGAAGCCAAGAAGTTATTTATCAGATATAGTATAGGAATTTAGGAATTAAAATGTTTAATTAAGTAATCTCCTAACAAATTACAAATATGGTAACTAGTATAGAACCTGCGGATGAACTACTTAAATAGGTAAGTTATGTAACCATAATTAAAAACACAGTAGCTGTTATTAGTGTTTGTAGTCGATCATTATTTATCGACTTGACTAAGTCGATATTTAAAAATCGGCTTAGCCGGCTATGTCGGAGTCGATTATCCTAAATTCTATTAAGTTAAACTTCGAAAGTTTTCGGAAATTTCTCGAATTTTGTCTCGTAGTTGATTTTCTTTTCGATCATATTATATAGTCGACAAAGACGATTTTTTGAAAAATCGGCTAACTAAGCCGGCTAAACCGATTTTATCGACTAATGCAACATCACTAGCTGCTATAAACATCGGCCTTAACGAAAGCAAAAAAAAAAAAAAGAATATTAACGTTCATTTAGAACCAGAAATGGCTTTTACAAAGAATTTTTTATTACTAAAAACATTGCATACTCAAAAAGTGTATAAATAAGCTACCCGAACAATTGATTTACATTAGCCAATCAAACGAAAGCTGCCTATAAGCGATACTGTAAAAGACGAAATACGCAAGTGATACAAATCACGTGCTGATAGTAAAAATTCGGTTATGTTATTTCGCTAAAAGCACGTGATATTGTGACCAGCGTTAGGGTTAGCGTATGAAGCGTAGTATAGTAAATTTTGCCAGGAATTTTTTTTGTTAGATGTTTTGAAAAAGCCTTCGTTTTTACATTACACGAAGATTACACCTAATCTTGCGATCTACATAGAAAATTTTCCTTTTTCGGATTTGTATCACTTACAGAAATAAGTGTACGCGTGGAAGACACCCTTGGTTATAAGCTTTCATGTTGAATTTTTTAAAAAATCCTGTAAATGCTAGAATATTTCGTCATTTTTCTGTTTCAAAAATGGCACTTCCTAAAATTCTATTAACGCGAACGTTACCACCGGAATCACAACGACTTATTGAGCATGCTCAGGACATCGAGCTTCTTCATTGGAAGGACGGTGTTATACCTCGAGACCAGCTGTTGAAATTAGTACCAGGTTTACTTCCTACTAAGCTTGAAATGATAGTTTAAAACAATCATTATAATTCTCCTTCATTATTCATCAAGGTGTTAGTGGAATTCTTTGTACGTTAATTGAAAAGATTGATTCAGAGCTACTAGATGCAGCTGGTCCAAACTTGAAAGTTGTATCGACATTCTCAGGTTAAAATTTTAAATATTTACTTGTATTAATGGCATTAATGGTGTTTAATATCTAACATTACATTCTTAAACAGTGGGATATGATCATGTCGATTTAAGTGAACTTCGTAAGCGCAAAATACATTTGGGATATACTCCCGATGTGCTTACAGATGCAACTGCAGGTATAAAGTTTGACAAGAAATAGAACATTGTTTGTGAATAGAATTAAATATTTACCTTGTTAACTTATACAAAATAATATAAGATATTACTTCGTTATTGGTACTGGCTGCGTCACGTAGAATGCGTGAGGTATTAGTTTTTTAGTCTATTTAATTCATCACTGCTGCCATAATTATAACATAGGTTTTCTAATATAACTAAGGCAATTCGTGCAGTAGAAGATGGTGAATGGAACGTGTGGAGTCCAGTCTGGATGTTGGGTATTCTGCCATTTATTTTACAATTAATGTTTTAAAGGTCTATATTTTTCTTAACTGAAATAAATCGACAGGTACTCAATTAACTGGTAAGACAGTCGGAATTGTTGGCCTTGGCCGAATCGGTGTAGCTACTGCACGTCGACTTAAACCTTTTTTGGGCGCAAATGGAAAAATAATCTACTCTGGAAATTCTGATAAACCAGTGGCCATAGAGCTCGGTGCATCTAGAGTTAAATTTGATATGTTAATTAGAGAGGCAGATATTATTTGTATATGTTGTGCTTTGAACGTGCAAACAAGGGAGATGTTCAATTATGGTGCTTTCAAAGCAATGAAAAAAAACGTGGTATGTAAAACACTGATTGAAGACGTGTAGATGTGCCAGAAATTACGAATTTAATGTTTAATTCTTCTTAAGAAAGGCAACGTCATAATGTTGATATAATCTTCCACTTTGGAAATTATGTACTTCTTATATATTCTTTATATACTAGTAGTATTTATGTTCCGTTTTTGTTTAGATTCTTGTGAATACTGCACGGGGTGCGATCATACAACAAGACGACCTTATACGTGCTTTGTCAGAAGGCCTATTAGGTTCTGTAGGACTAGACGTGACAACACCAGAACCATTAAAGCCCGATCATCCTCTGTTGAAATTTCAAAATGTAATTGTACTTCCTCACATTGGTAGTGCAACGTTGGAAACACGAACAATGATGGGAAACCTTGCTGTTGAAAACGTCTTGTCTGGTGTTCGGGGACAAACGATGCCTAGTTCTGTAGAATTATAATCAGTCATTTTTCAAGAGAATATAACAGTCACAGGACATGTTCTTTTACAAGGGTTTCTATTACTGCTACTTATAAATTAAATAAGTTGACACATCAAATTTATATGTAAATTTTTACATAAAAAAAATATTAAAATTTAATTTATTTTAAAAAAATATATAAGTTAAGGGTAGTGGTAAGTATTTTAAAATTATATATAAACCTAATGGTAATTTTTTTATTATTTAATTTTATAAAAAATTATATTAAATAAACTAATTTTAATTACTAAGTAAAGTTGTAGAGTAGGTTTTTTTGATTTTAATGATAGTAAAATTATTAAAATAGGTTAAAAATTCATTGAGATATAAATTTTTAAAGACTAGGATATAAAATTATAGAATAAAATTAATTAATAAGTTTATGTAAAATTAACCAATCAAATTTTTTATTTTTGTATTATTTAAGTAAATTATATTTAAAATTTTTTTTAATATTAATGATAAAGTCATATCTTTATTTTTATTGAGTATTTATTTAAAATTTTTACATAAAATATAAATTTATTATTAAAAATATTATAAAAAAGTAGAAGTTCAAACTAGTTTATCCGTGACTTAAACCAATATTTCAAAATTTTATTATAATAAATAAATAATTTTATTTATAATATTATAGATTTTTTTTATTAATTAATTAAAAAATAAAAAAGTTTTATTAGTAGCATATATCAAATTTAGATAAAATTTTAAATTTAACTATATAAAAATGATCTATATAATTTTAACTTTAAACTTTTTATAAACATCTTCTTTGTAGTCACAGTTGCTTATAATTACAAAATTTTAAAACTAGCTATATAATACTTATTTTTTAATTTGTCTATTTTTTTAATCAAATTTGTTTAAAAAATTATTAAAAATATATTTATAATCTATTTTTTTAAAATTTTAAAATATTTAAATAAGGATTATATTATAGTAATATTTAATTTTATAGTATAATATATATATATAATGTTAAGATGACCTCTTTGGTTTTTTAACTTTTTTAATAACTTTTTTAATAATGTAATTTTATGAACCATTTTAGAAGAACATACAATTGGCTACATATATAACTTTTTTATATTACCTATTTAAGAAGTCTGTCTAAAGGTTTCTTACCAATTGCTATACTTAATATTTCTGCTTATATGTTTTACTTTAAATCCTCTGAATTTGTAACCTGTGTTAACTTATTGAGTCATATTCAGATGCTCAAATTATTATCTTAGTTTTATTTTCAAAATAAATCTTTTAGAGTTTTCTGTATTTATTTTTATAGTTAATCTAGATATCACTATAGCAGAACTAACACTTATAATCAGAATTATATTATTTAATTATTATAATCTTGTAGAGTTCACATAGACTTCAGAATTTACTTTACAGCATAATTCTAATACTTTAGTATACCTCTGCTTTTTGTTCTGCCTTTTATTCAAATTTCTAATTCAGATAGCCTGTATAGAATTATAACCAGTCTATCAGTATATTAGATTAGTCTGATATTTTTTTTCTTTAGTTTATTCTAACAATCTAGTTGGTAGTATTTCCAAAACTTCTAATACAGAGATTTTTGTCTATCTAAATATACAATACAGTATTATGATCTTAATATCTGTTTTTTTAGACTAGTTTTTATAATAGAACTGTTAAAGATCTGGTTACCTTTCTATTCAGATCTTTTCAAATAAATTTTTTGTTACTTAATTTTAACAGATTTATATAACTACAAGGACTTATCTATTGTTCATATTGTCTAATTTGTCAGTTTGCATTCTTCTGTATATTAGTTATACAGATACTTCATAAATTACCAGTTATACTAGTATGACTATCATTACAAATATCCTAACTCAATTATTAATAACAGTTGCCATAATATAAATATTATATAAATAATTATTCAAATTTTTACTATTAATAGAATTTGAACATTTAATCTACTACTTAAGAATTAACAACATAACCATTTTACTAGTCATCATACTCCTTATATATATATAAATTTTTTTTTTAGTATTAAGGTGACCTCTTTGGTCCAAGCTTTTTATTAATACTTATAGTAAGTACATGTTTTATATAAACATATCTATAATGAACTATTAGATGAGTATACAACTAGGTACACATGTAACTTTTCTATATTACCTATTTAAGGAGTCTGCTTGAGGGTTCCCTACCAGTTGCCATACCTAACACCCCTGCTTAGATGTTCCATTTAAACCCTCTGATTTAACCCTAGTATTAATTTCATCAGATCACAGACCTGGATCTATTTACATTCAACCATAGGACTATAATTCTTAGACTATTTTTATCCTTTAAGTAAATCTATCAGAGTGAGCCGTATTCCCTTTTATTGCTAACCTGGTTTGAAGCTATGACTAGAACCAATACTTGCAGTCAGGATTACTTCTTAAACTGCTATTACTCTTGTAAAGTTCACCCAAATCCTGGTACCCATCTTTTT